ATAATATTCAAATCGAAAAAAATTAGAACTAATTGATAATCTATCTAAAGTGAGAATATTCTCAATGAAGTGCAACAATGATGAACAACAACTCGGTCAATAGTTTTCAGAAATACTGTGGCAATACCAGCAATGAAATGACATGCAGTGAAATCATGGACCTAAAGCCAACTTCAGATTTTGTTCTGATTCACACAGAGAGAAGAATTCAAATTATAAAGGAGATTTCGGACGTGTTGACAAGTTGTTTACAACAATAGTTTCCCATTCGTATACACTTCTCTGGAAGATTTTTTACGTGAAGTTGAATGAAGTTGATCTTGTTCTTTATTACATCTGAGCCAGTTACTTTGCTTGGATTTATATCAACCAGTTGTAAAGTCTACCTTATCACTGTTTAAGTTAAATACAGAACACACAGCACATTCTTAAGACAGCCGGCTTCCTTTTTCCTTGATTACAATTTTATACATAGTTGTTGTATGATTTAGAAATCCAAACATTTCACTCTTTATGTCAATAGTACCACATAGAAGGAAAGCCTGTGGATATGTCATCATTATAAGTTAGGTGATTTATATTTTTTGCAACAGTTGTAATTTCTTCAAGGAGTGAGTATTAATACCTTGAGCTTGGATTGTTGAATACTTGATTTATTTGTTGCGTGAATAAACAAATAAAAATCCTTCTTAATTTTCTTTTAATAATTTATTGCATATTGTTTGTTAATAATAATAATAGAAGTGTATTTGTCTACTCGCAGGTATCATTATTTAATGATTTAATGATTTATAATATTTATTAAACTTATTAAATTTATTTCTATCATAATATGCGTGTGTATATATATTTTTTACTAAATAAATATCAATATTATTAGTAATGTAACATTTTTTAAAATCAAATAAATAAATAAATAAAATTAATTAAAACAATATTTATTTTGTTTAAAAGTATCTAGATCAAATTGGTGTCAATTTGTTTTTAATACTTTCTGGCATACGTAATTGATAATCTATAAAACAAAACAATTAATTAATAATAAAATAATGATAATTTTCCAGAGAATGAACAAATGACCAAATTACCTCCATTCTGTGTAATATATCTAACCCAAGGTAATGCTTGATATCCACTTTTTTCAACAATTTTAAGATATCTCACTTGAATTCCTGAAGTTGTAAAATATGGAATTTCAAATTTTACTCCAATTGGAGGTTTTTGAGAAGGATCCTCTATTTATATAAACAAAGTACGTATGTAGATGTTCATTAGAAAAAAAATTTATATCCCTCAATTAAATTATTTAAAAGTTTTTTTATAAATTTACCATTTTTAACAGAGGGTAACCCAAAATGTGCTCTCATTAAAAATTCCTTGCCACCTTGAAACTGTTTAATTTTCCATACTAAACATGACTTTTCTGGTGCATATTGAACTGAACCAATTGAACTCTATATTATAAGAACATATAAGCGTATATAGATGTACAATTACTATGTGATTGTTTTCATATTATACATTATAGATTATAGATTATAGATTATAGATTTTTTTTAAATTTAATAATTACCCTAAATTTTGGTGAGTCAGCATCGTCGGGAACGGGGACAGAAATTTCAACGTTGTTTGCGGTTGAACGACGTTTAAATTGAGCTTTTGCTTTGATCATATACTCAATTCTTGAACCAGTATAATTCTCTATGAGAGCTTCAACCCAAATTAATGGTTTGACCTGTTTATAAATTTTTATTAAATTTATTAAATTTTAGCCACAAAAATAATCAATGATGTTCAAGATCAAAAAAAAAAGGGCAAAACCTGTGTATTTAAACGATAACTCATCAATTCAAATTCACCATCAGGTGGTATGAATGAAATGGTACGATCATTTTCAAATCTTGAAAGACGAACACATTGATGAAATTTAACATCTTCCATTTCGATAGCTTTTCCTCTTGATGGAGATCTTCCAGTATTCTCAAACATCACTTTATCATTTAAACCAAGCCTTAATTCCGGCATACCACTCAAATAACATTTCATCTTGACCGCACCAAGGATTTCACTACGCAATACATTTCCATTTGTGTTGACCAATAAATTCACTGACTCAACCACGTCCAAAAATACCTCGTTTTTCCTATATTTTATACCCTCTGACCGCCATGATACTGCATTGGTAACAGCCATTGGTGGTCTAACTTGGATCTCTAATTTATGAGATTCTTGAGTTATATATCTGTATGTATATATATTAATTTTATTATTATTTATCTAAATATATTTAAATATATATGCGAATGATATAGTTAATTTTAATTACTCTTGTAAGATTTTTGTTTCAGTTGTTTGTGGATAACCAAAATCCATCATCTCATCCAATAATTCATAAATTATTACAAAATTGTCACGAATAGATTCTTCTTCTAATTCCTTAAAATATTCTGTAAAAACCTACATTTTGTTGAAATTTTTATGAATAAAATATTTTCATCTATGAAATATTTGTTGTGATAATATTGTATTATTATTTACCTCTGTTAACTTGTGAAGAAACAATAGTATTGTGATAGCATTAGAATTTTTTTTTGTTAGTGCTAATACTGTTTAATATAAGATCAATGGTTAAAGTAAAATATATATATATAGGCATTTCTTAAGGAATCAAATAATATAGTTTTTTTTTTTAAAATTACTAAATCAACCCATTCCTTCTTTCCTTTATTGTTAATTTTAATCAACACAATCAAGTATCTCTTAATCATACAATAAATAAAAAAGATACAATATAAATTATTATGGCGTATATACAAGTAATTTATGCCTTCATGTGTAAAACACGGCGTAGGAGCTTGTTGTTCTTCTTCAGCTTCTAAAACAAGAGGCATGAATTTTTCAACAGCTGACATTGGTATATCACCACGATAATTTCTTGAAATTAACACTTTTCCTTTCAAATCCAAAATAAAAATCGCTGATGCCATTTTTAAAAAAATTTTATTATTTGAATTCTAAAGAAAAAAAAATAATATTTATATGTAAATGACGGTAACTAATTGAATAGGGAGCACTGTGTCATCTTTTTCAACCAATCAATCAATATATTTCATACGTCAAGTAATAATAGCGACGTCGTTAGATTTGGTATTGTCACGTGATTACAATAGTGGAGATAATAAACCAACTACTTTGTTCCCAAATTTAAAGAAAACAAAACCATAAACATCCAACGCAAAGGTGTTGATTTCATCAAATTCGAAGGTCCTTGATTTCTGGAATGGTGCATTAAAGATTTAATTAGATGAACATGATTATTGTAAAAAAAGAAATTCATTCATCCAAATGTTGTTTATACTAGCAAATTATTAAAATTTTCAACCCATGAATTGGTAATCAATTATCATGGTAATTATAATGATTTTTACTGTTGATTTTTTAACACTAATGGTGAACATTTTAAATAATTTATAAATAGCCTTACTTATCACTGATGAATTTCCAAAGTAAAATACGTAACTCGAACGTTTATTTATTATTATAGTAACACCAATACGAAGTAATCATAATCGTAATCATCATCCAAGTTCCCAGACAGGCTGTTAATACTATTACTATGGATGGATATTATAGCAAGCATTTGCACTTTGTATATTTTATATATATTAATATGTTGTCAAATTATACTTTTTATTTTTATTTTTTCTGTTTTTTTTTTTTTTTTTAATTTGTAATTTCCTCCTTAATTATCATATTGGACAATAGATTCTTATTGATGTTGTGCATTATTGAATTTCAAAATTTGAATAAATATAATAATTGTTGCTTATTTAAATACAATAATAACATCATTTCAATATCTATATTTTATAAATAGATTTTGTTTTGTTAGAAGAAGAAAAAGTTTAGGATGTCAACCGATCGACCGACCAATCGATCAATGGGACTTTAATGAGAAGATGAAAGAACGAGAGGAAACGGCTCTTTATTATTATTATGAATTTTTAAGTGATAAAGCTGATGATTACGATTATGATGCAAATTTGCGATAACTTGTGATTTATTTACGATTAATATCAATATTAATGCCTTTCATCATTGTGCGTATTAATAAAATCCATTATCCGAGAACGATTACGAGAAATAAAACAAATCCCTAAATTAAGAAACATGATGATAATAATAATAATTTACAAAGTGAACCAATTATATGTACAATCAGAAGAAAAAATTATCGATTGCTATCAATTAGATATATTATTAAACCGGAATGGACCAACAATGTAAGAAAAATAAATAAAATTAAAAATCAACTCATTTTCATTCAACGGTAAAATATTTTATTTGTTCCTTCCCGTTCACGCAAACACTTTTATGTTATTGTTAACCACAATTATATCTGCATTTGCATTTCTATCATCAATATTCATTTAATCAACAATAGAGAATTATCAACAGTTTTAAATCTTCTCTTCTTCGTTTTTTTTCTCTTCTCACATTGACTAACAAACAAATAGGAGCCATTTATTATTTATAGATTTGATTAATAAAAAATCTACCATTTATGAACTTCACCACAAAAGAAATCTTGAAGAGAGATGCAGGGATTTTATTAATAATAATAATATAAGCGTTAAAAACAATTATCATTTATTTTTAAAAAATTTTTAATTATCATAAAGTAAAATAAATTATTACAAAATAAATAATATATATATCGTATAAAAACACGTCCATCGTCATCAATACCAACACCATCACCATTTTCAAAAAAGATTTAAAAAAAAAGTTCTCTAGTTTTAAAAAAGAAAAAAAAGAATAAGAAAAACAAAAACTATTTTTTTAAAAAAATAAAGAACTTGTCCCGACTTACCACCTCCATATCCTTTCTCATCACATCTTTAAATAAATAAATTCATATATCTATTCAATTTTTATATGGAAAATTTACCTTCACCTTCTTTTATTTTTTTTTCGTTCCAAATTTAAAAAAAAAAAATATGGTAAACCAAAGAAAAACCAGAAATAATTCAAATGATAATTCCACCCGCAGGACGGGTCCCTGGGAACCATATGTTAGTTTTTTCTCACAAATACAATTCTGATAAATATTATTATTCTGACAAAAATCGTTTATAGGAAGATGAAAGGTTGCTATCGATTGTAAAAGAGTTGGGAGTTAAACATTGGAAACTAATTGGTATAAAACACGGTTTGAGAGATGGAAAGCAATGTCGCGAAAGGTATTTTTCATTTGTTTTACATTTTCATGGTTGATAGTTGTGGAAACCGAAACGGGTATTAAAAGGAATTTGTTTCTTTGTTTCCTTCAATTTAATATATTTATTAGATGGCATAATCATCTTAATCCCAATTGTAAGTGCTTATAATATCGGAAAGATTCTTTTTTCGGATTTTTTCCTTCCTTTCCAAAAATATATATATATACATACATATATATGTGTGTGTATATAATTCTAATCCTCACAATCTTTGCTTAGTAATATATGGTCCATTGACACCTAAAGAAGACGAATTAATATTGTATTATTACTCAGAAATGGGAACAAAATGGGCCGTAATGGGTCATTTATTAGGTCGGCCGGCCAATCTTATCAAAAATCGTTATTATTCCTCTTTATGTAAAAAACGTACAAAGTCTTTGGTGATATGTGGTGATGATGATAACATTAATAATATTGAAACATCAACGAAACGAGTTAAATTAAATGACGACGACGATGATGATGATGGTAATAATCTTATTACAGGTATATTAAAGCGTGGTATTTATTTTTTTTAATTTATCGAAAAATTTTTTTTTCAATTTAATAAATTTATAAATATTTTTAAAGATACATCACAAAAACAACAAAAACGGAAAAAACGAAAATTTAAAAAAATTCCCTTGAATCATCATCAATCTACCGCCATCACCACTGTCAGCACCAACACTACCAATAATAGTCATAATTTCATTCTTAGAACACCTAATATTAGTGTTAATTCTAGTCCAACCCTTAATAATAATAATAATAATAATAATAATAATAATAATAATAATAGTAATAGTAATAATAATAATAATAATAATAATAATAATAATAATAATAATAATAATAATAATAATAATAAATTATTATCAATAGTAAATACACCACCATCACCAACGCAAACAAAATCAATTAAAAGGTATAATCATCGTAATTATAATCCAAAAGTAGAAGAAATAATACATTCAACAAAAAAACCGATCAATACTACCAAAACATCACTGTCTCCAACACCTAAATCTATTAAAACATCTTATGATCCAAAAATACAAAAAGAGTCACCATCATCATCATCAAAAACTGACCCAGATAATAACGGTACAACCATAACAAAGACCACAACCACAACAACAGTTACAACGGTGACTACTACTATATCAGCTAACAACTCACCTGGTCAAGGTCCTTTATACCTTGATTTTGGTGATTTCACCTTAACTCCAATTGATACTGAAAACATGAATAACAACAACAATAGTAATAGCTCTAATGATAATAATAATAATAATAATAATGGTTCAAGGAGCTCAATTTCTTCATTTCAACAAAAACTAATTAAAAGATCATCTGCTAATAATAATGAAAATAATAAATCAAAAATTGCAGCATTAACAAATCAATCACGTCACAAGTCCAATACTAAAGGAATATCATCATCGTCGTCGTCGTCGTCATCATCTTCATCATCACCGCCTACTTCACCATCATCATCAACTACCACCTCAAGAAAGAATAATTCCATTAGCAACGACGACAGCAGCGATGATCGCATTCCTCCATCATTATTAAATAAATTTGGTAGAAACAAAAATCCTCTACTGAACAATTATCCGTACTCAGAAGGTTATGATCCTTTGAATCCAAGAAAACATATTAAACGTATAGAATCTGCTCCTGTAATCCCACAAATATCAATAGATGAAGATGACGCCGGTCTTTTCAAATCTTCAATTTATCCTACGAAATCTTTGTCAAATATAAATATGAGTCACAAAAATAATCCTTCAAATAATGATCATAATAATAATAGTGAAACTCCGAAACAATATCTTGAAAGAATGAAAGAAACCCTTTCAAAATCAAAATTAGCAACTATGTTGGCAAAAAGGTATTTATTTAATTATCATTTAGTCATCAATTATTTATTTAATTATATTTATTTATAATTTTTTTTTTTAGACCTGACGAATTCCATCAATCCGTATTGAATGCTTATATGGAAGCTTTTGAATTTACAAATGATCCTATTGATCTTGCTCTACGGTAATTGTTAATTCTTATTTTTCTCCATAATAATTATTATATTAATAATTGTTATATTAATAATTTTCAAAAAAAATTTTTAACGATAGAAAATTCCTTATGGAGTGTTATCTCCCAAAAGAAACACAACAAATTGACCGTGTGATGGAAGCTTTTGCAAAAAGATATCATGAAAATAATCCTGAACTGTTTCCATCCTCTGGTTGGTATTTTATTACTATTACTGTTAACTAATATTTAACAATAAATATTAAGTACAAATATAAAATGTTATTTTTTATCAATAGATACACCTTATATTCTTGCATTTTCATTATTAATGCTCCACACTGATGCATTCAACAAAAGTGTAAAGCGTAAAATGACAAAAGAAGATTTTATAAAAAATACAAGGATTGACGGTGTTGCTCCAGAAATTTTAGAGGTATATATAAATCCCCACATTGAATTATCTCGATTGATTAAATTAATTAAGTCAATTTTTTTTAATAATGAATAATGATATTAGATACTTTATGATAATGTCACCTTTACACAATTTATTTATGCTGATGATGATACTGATGTAAATGGTCAGACAATGATCGAATCACCACCAGACAATCGTCAATTGAGGTTGTTTAGTTCATCGAAAGAACGAAGAAAATCAATGCGTTCCAGAAATGACCCATATTATGTTATACAATTTGTATGTGTGGTTACGATGGTTATATTATTAATTGTTTGTTTTAATTTTTTTTTTAAAAAGCAAGCAAATTATTAATCCAATCCTACATCAATATAATATATATATAGAAAATTCCTACCGAGTTTAAACCATCTATTCATACACTCGTTCCAGTTGAAAATCCTTATTCATACATGGGAACCCTACCTTCAATGGACACTACACATATCCATCGTGCATTTGCCAGTGCACACGCAATAAGAATCACCGGCGTACAAACCCGTCATAACGGTGAAACTTTCAATCACGCAAATACTTTACACCAATTAGAGGAAGAAAATGGGACTTTTGTTCTCAAAATAACTAAAGGTGGTAAATTAGGTAGGAAGGTTGATATGGTCGATGGTAGGAAAAAAAGTGGTATAAGAAATTGGAAACAATATGGTGTTATTTTAAGTGGGAGTCAATTGATGTTCTTTAAAGATGAAGCTTGGTTTAATATTAAAATGGCAGAATTAAGCGACCCCGTGGTATTTATTGATTTATTTTTTAACAAATTATCTATAAATATATATATTCTTTTGATAGTAATAATAATAATTAATTATTATTTATATAATAATAGAAATCTACACAAATACCTATTCTAAGGCCAGACGTGATACTTATGACAGCAGAATCTATTGCAGTGCATGATAAAACATATAAAAAATATCCAAATGTATTTCGACTAGTATGTCCAAAAGGTCATCAATATCTATTTCAAGCAGAGAATGAATCGGAAATGAATGATTGGATAACAAAAATAAATTATGCTGCGACATTTAAATCAATTGGTTTGAAAATGAGACATGTTAAAAATTCATCATTATCGTCATCAACGTCATCAGATAAAAACAAAAATATGAAAAAAAGTCATCCCCCATATCTTAGAAATCTAGTTAATAAAGATGACGGAGCTAATGATGCACACAGCAGGGCTAATGTTCTAAGGGTATCTATTGTTATTTCTATTATTATTAATTTGTTATATTTATAATTTATAATTTATAACCAAATTTATTATAAATCTATTATTATTAGTCAAAGATTGACGAACTTCAAGGTAAAATTTCCACACTTACATCTCAACTTCAGAATGACGTAAGGTTCAGGAATAATTTGTTTATAATGATGCCATATAAAACATCTACACGAGATCGTATTATTCAACTTGCTTTGATGGTAGCACACCGTATTAAACACACCTGTTTGGAACTTAGTAGGTTGGTATGTTATCATGAAATTCTGGAAAAAGATTTATGTGCAACTGTCATGGAAGATGATTATTATTGGCTGAATAGAAAAAGTATGCATAGACTTGGTGGTGAATCAAAAGATAACGATAATGATATTAATATTAATAAAAAAGTTACATCAGCAACAAAAGCAACATTTGATGATTTTATCAACAACAAAAACAACGACATTAATTTTGCTGATATAATTAATAATAATAATAATAATAACGACAATGAAAATGATGATATTGCTTTTAACAATTACAATGATTTTAGTAATTTCAATAATTATAATAATGATTATGATGATGATAGTTTTAATAATAACATAATAATAAATAGTAATAATCATCATCTTTCTGAAGATATACCGTTCATCACCGAGAAAACCAAAAAATCAGCAACAATGACGCTTGTTCCAATGTCATCAACATCTTCATTATCCACGATGGCATGTTCAAGCCCTGTAACATCAATAGCAGATTCAATTCAATCCAGTCCACCAAATTCAATAGGTAATGTTTACTTGCATCCATCAGATATTGAATTAGAAATTGTTAAGGATGACGATAATAATGGCGATAATAGCAAATATCCAAATAATTTTGAGGAAAAATCTAGTTTTAGAGATGACGCTTCAAGTATTTTAAGTATGGAATTTGAAGATGCAAAAGAACAAATTGAAAATACAATACTTTTTAATTCGTCATCGTTTTCATCATCATCAATTATTCCAATATCATCTACAAGTATAAATACAAATAATAATATCATTGATGATAATGATGATAATGATAATGGCAGTGATGATGATGATGATGACGACGACGTTTTTGTTGATGCAGAAGAATGGTAACAAATTTTATTCAACAAAAAAACAATATTAAAAGAGAAGTTTTATTTATTTAATATTATTTAAAAATAATAATTATTATTATTAATGTAAATTTAATATTTTTTGCGGTTTTTTTTAAAAAACAGTTTTTAGAAAATTTCTTGGGTTGGGTTTTATGTATAATTTGTATTTGTATTTGTATTTGTATTTGTATTTCTATTTTATGCATATGTGTAGTAATGGGCATTATCATAATTCAATTGTATTTTTAGTTCAACAATTTTTTTTTACACTTCACGTTTAATTTTTGTAATTTTAAATATGAAAAAAATAATTTAAATGTTATAATAAAAAACCAAAAAAAAAAAAATTCCCAACACGATTTTCTGCGAGTTACTCTTTATAGCTAGCGTCCAGTTTTATACGACGAAACTTATTTCCACATAGAAATCAAGGTTGAAAGCACACACTAATTTTTCTGAGATTTTATAGTACATGCATGTGGTAGTAGTAGTGGTGACAGCGGCAGTAGTGACCATTGATGATAGTATTAAGACCGTAATATATTTACAAAAAAGGCGGGAAATGTTCGAGGCGAAGTGTCACGTTGTTTAATATGTTGCTAGTCGAGAGTGCCATCAGGCACTTGTATGTACTGTTTATTGTTGACACCGGTTTGAAATCGACACCAATATTAAGAATTTTCTGCATCTTTCCAAGCCATAGCACCATCAAATGAAATATGTACCTAATATGTCAATATCCTTGGCACTGTCATATACAGAATCAACCACTTTCAATTCATAGTGTAAGTACTCATGTTGTTTTCTAAATCCTTGTACAATATAATCTTGCAACCACCATTTATTCTTTTAATAAAACTAGAATGGTGAGTTGTGGACGAATAATCATCACCGCCATTTTTTTTAATACCTGGAAAGGTTCTTTAGGAATGCCAATCAGTCCATTTAGGGCTTGGAGTTAGGGTTTATTTTTGTTGGACCGGTTCGAGTTCGGATTCTAAATAGATAACCGATTACAATCAGATTGAGTCGGATTTAGTATTAGTATTAGTATTATTATTAGAGTTTTTTATATAATCTATGGAAAAATACAAATAATAAAAATATATAAAACAACAAAACTTCAGTAATGAAAATGAACGTGCCTCAAACATTGAATTCGGATGGAATTTGTTGCAATTTGTTGGTCAACATGTCTATTTATATGTTTATGTAGTGATTTATTAACTATTCGATCAATTTGGCCACTGAATAGTTATTTTATGAAAATTACGTCATTGCGCAGCTAGAGTGCTTTGCATCCCAACTATTCAAAATTATTTTCTTTATGCATAATATTCTCATTCTTTTTATTTCATTCGTTTTAATTTCAAGTATTTTAATTAAAAAAAAGTAATAATATCTTTAAAAATCACGTGCCCGTAAAACTTTTATTGCACTTTTAATTGGAATTTTTTCTCAAAATGGCGCAAAAAGTTGCGGGGAATAAGTGAGCGTCTTGCGTTATATTAATACCATTAGTATCACCGTCATTATTATCAGACATTTTGGGTGTGAAGTTATAACGAGCTATATGATTTTCCTTAGTTATAATAAATACATGATTTGTACTATTTAATTTTAATTCTTTACGTGTGTAATGGAGCCATCTCGATCGCCAAGATTTTAATTCGATTATCCGAGTGTTAACTTCTATTAACCGATTACCAAAATATTCGATTAATCAATGGGTAAGACCAGAATCCTTTTCATTATTATCAAAGAGTACATATTGTTTAATTGCAAGTTTCATTGATATTTTTAAACATTTGCATTAAAACAACCATTACAAATATTTGCTAATTTTAACCAGAAGAAACAACACAAAATAAAACCTCAAACTAATTTCCAAGTAAATAAATGGAATCTGTATGTAGCCTTTAAAGCATTTAAGTTTTTTGTTTTTGCAATTTTATGATTTTAGAAATTATTCACTTGAAAGAAGCACATATTATTTAGTAGGATGATTCCTTTCCAGTTTTATTTAAACATCCATAACTATCATAAGGGACATGTTTTCCAACTTTTGAGGTTGCAATTCATTATTGTTCTGAATACGGTCGGTTTAATGGATTTGATGATTAGAAAAAAAAAGAGGGAGAAAAGTAGTAAAGTTGAGATTATTTATAGATGCTTAAATTGTGAATATTCTAGAAAACTTTTAGACAATTCAACAATTCAACAATATACATAATCACCATTTGCACCACAATTTTATAGCTTAAGTGATGAGATCAAACAAGATATTGGGCATTATGTTAAATCATTAAAATGCAAATAGAAAATAATTATGTTACAAATTTCCCGAATAAATTATTTGAAGAATAGAGAGAAGGAGCAATGCATCCGTAGGTTAATCCTGAAACATTTGGGTTAAGAGGTATATTTTGGATGACGAATGAAGAATATTTACTATGCTTATGTTATAGTGATGTTATATTAATGACATCACAGCATTAACAAAATTTAATTGAAAAAAAGTCATTAGATTTGGTTAAGTCAAATGATAATATTGATAACAAAAGAAATATATTTGGGGTAACTGTGGATGGTTTAATCATAATGTCCTAACATTATATGATTTCAAAAATCCTTCTTTGCTTGGGGATGGGGTGTGGGATGTTATTTAGAAAGAGTATTTTCAATTATATAGACGGCATATGTTAAGTTTGTTGTAATAATTATTTTTTGTATATTGCTATTGTTATTTAATAAATTGTGCATATTTAATGGGGTTTTTTTTTGTCATTTTAAGTAATTTTATTAATAATAGAAACATAATACAAGTTTTGTTTCAATGAAGTAGTTGGATATATAAGATTGAAATGAGATTATTGATGAATTTTTATATGTTTAACAAGATTTTAAAAAATTCGTTTAAATGAGGGTTTGACTGTAAATTGATTTTGTAACACTTTACAATATGTACAACCTATTTAACTCATCTCTATTTAATATATTTGAAATATTAGGATGTAGAATTACCGTTGGAAAAGCTCCACCTAAAGCGGGTGATTCAATAATTATACAATTAGGATTAACATTATTTCCATTGCTGCTATTAATTTTATTATCAATTCTATTCGAATCATTTATTTATTCGAACAGTGTTCGCCGCGCTTTGGATTTCGCGTAACCCGTTAACACTTCGCTATTGCACAAGAAGTACAAGATAATATTGCTATTTAACGGCATATCACCGTTAGAATGTTAATTTGCCGTCAAGTGGCTACTAATTAATTAAATTGCATATAAGAAGCTTGAGATCAATATACTTTCAAAATAACTTTGTGGTAATCATAAAACCAGCTCACTAGCGATATCATTTTCTTTAGTTGGTAATCTACAAATTACTTGGAGGAAAGAGAATTGCCGCAAAAAATTTATACTAATGAAAAACAAAACCTAGAAGGAAAACAATAGAAGCAATCAGCAATCGATAAAAAAATGGAGAAGGAGAATGATATAGAAGATGAAGAAGTTACTAATATTAGCAATATTAGTAATAATAGAATAGATCAGAATGATCAAAGAATAGTAATACTTGTCAATGATTTCCATGCAATTTTCTAACGATTTTTATCTTATAACATTTATATATAGTGTGTTGCAAAAAAAAAGTGGATAATCGGTAATTATATATACAAAAATAGAGCAAGAAAATACGAGCCATTAAAATATTTTTATTATGCTGCTAAAACATACTTAATTTAAGTAGAAATTATAACATAGGTGTATTGGTGGTGTAACTTGTGTAAAAAAGTTATAAACATTCGTAAAAAAAAAAAGAAAGTCAAAATCATTAAATCCGAAGAAAATCATTTTATTTATGATTCTATTATTAACCCCAACCGGTTAACGGTATCAACATCTAATTTAAAGAATATTGAGTTGATCTATGATAAATTAGGATTATTATCGATTATTATATATTTTGCATCAATTATTTAATTGAATTAATTGAATTATATTAAATATGAATCACTAGCTTTTTTTATATTCTAAATAAATATATAAATATATTTTAAATTTTATTCAAGTGGATAAGCATAAAACTCAAATTGGACATCTTTACTAGTAAGATTCTTGTAAACAGCTTTAAAAGTGTCGATCTTATGCTCCAATGATTGATCTTTGCTATCAAGGCGTCTGTAAATTATAAAAAACTTTGTGAAAAATAATATCAAAAAAAAATTATTGAAATAAAAATAGCAAGACACATTACACTTTAATGACTTTGCTGCCATCTGTCTTAACACGTGTTCTTTTCCCAATAATTTCTATCGGATATACCAAGTCCTCCAAATATTTTTCATGTACTGAGGTAAGAGTACGTGATCGAGGACGTAATTGTTTAACACGAGATCTATGGCCTGGTTTAGGTAGAATTCTTCTATCTGCAATAAACATAACGTGGCTATCTGAAAATTTTTTTTCTAATTCACGTGTGAGCCTTTTATAATAAATAAATAAATAAAAAATAGATATTGCTAATAAATTATTGTAGAAATATAATAATAATAAATTGATAATAGTGAAGGTAGAAACATACTTTGGTTGAATGTTATGAAATTGTTTTAAAAGTGGAACTGGAACAAAAATCACAATAGCCTTTTTTCCTTCACCTAATTCATACTTGATTAATAAGTATCAATATTTTTTTTTTTTAATAATCCATTAAAAAAATTGAATTAACAATTATAAATTTATTTAGATTCAAAAAAAAATTTTCAATTTTTTTTTGTGAACTCACCTCTTTGGCATCAGTGATTTGTAAAGGTTTTAATTCTTTTTTTAAATCTACAACTGTAGTCTCTAAATCACAAAGAGCTTGTGCAATTTGCTTTGCTGTTTCATTACTGGTAAGCTGTCCAGCTCTTTTGGCGATTTTCTTATCAGACATTTTTAAAAAAAATAAAAAAAAATCGATCTTCGTTGCACAACATGACAATTTTTATTTAATCATTTTGAATTGACACTTTGTATTTGATTTTGATCTTACTGCAAATGTTAATTATTGAGCTTATAATTTTTAATTAAGATGTATATAACAAATTAATAGTTAGAGTGAACCAGGAAGATGTTTATTACCAAAGAGTTTAGCAGAACAAATGTCACTCAGGATTTTCGTTTATTGTTGGTTGACTAATGAAAATTCATCAAATCGATTCCATTAATTAACATAATATCATTGAATTAGATTGAATAGGAACTCTATTTTTGTTAGATAGGTAAAATAATTCATCTAAAGTTGTTATCAAATAATATTAGTGATATTAAACTAGATTATTATTAAATTTGGCAAAGTATTATTTAACACAGCAAAACAAACATTTCAGTAGCAGTGGAAGAAGAAACAGATATACTTTTGTCTAAAAAAATTGGATAATTGATTTTTTTAATTGAAAAGGATAAAACATACATACATACTACATACTACAAAATCGAATATATGTTTGCCCGTTGAAGACTTTTGTGACATTTTCAATAAAACGAAACATGTTTCTATAATGAATATCATACTGCCGAGAGCCATACTTCCATTGCATGTATAAAAAAAAAACCAAATGTTTACTAGTACTGTAACCTTTATTTTTGATAATAGGTTTAAAAGTTGGCGAATGTATAATAAAATTAAATTAAATCGGCAAATGTTTGATTTCAATTATTGGTAAATTTAGTAGGAGGTATGCTTCGAAGGGTTCAACAAAATACCGAATAAATTATTATGTACAATATGTTTATAAATGGTTTTTACAATTTTTTTACGTCTGTAACAAATATTTGATCAATCTTTCTTTATAAACATTGTGGGTTAATATTTTTATTGGTACCCAAGTTGTGTTAAAACGTGGCATCTTTAATTTGACTCTATGAGCTTTGAAACGTAAAAAAATTTATTTTCGCAGATCATCATTGAAAAAAAAAAATAAAATGATAATAAATAACGATCATAATAACCATCACAAAAAATCATCAACGACGGCGACAACAACAACAACAACAACATTGGCGTCAACCTCCAGTAATAGTAATAGCACCAAAAGAAATGCATTATTATTGATAGGGTTATTATTTCATATAACCTATATATGGAGCATATTTGATATTTACTTCACCTCACCTTTAGTACATGGAATGACTCAATATAAGGTACTACTCTCTTTCCAATTGATTGATTCCTAATTAATTTACTGGTAATAATAAAGATTACAACAATCACAATTATTATTTATTATATTAGGTCGATTTACCACCACCAGCTAAAAGATTAGTATTATTTGTAGGTGCGCAATTATAGATTTATACTAAACCACTCATTAATTAATTAAATTATTAATTGATTAATTATTAACTACTTATTGATTTTTGTTTAGGTGATGGATTGAGATCAGATAAATTATATCAACTATATCCAATTGAAAATGATGATCATCCAGTATCAACAGTAATGGAATCAAAGGCGCCATACTTAAGAAATATAATATTGAATGAAGGTGTATGGGGTATAAGTCACACGCGAGTACCAACAGAATCAAGACCTGGTCATGTAGCAATTATTGCAGGATTTTATGAAGATGTTAGCGCAGTAACAAAAGGTATAACATACGATATATGTGTGTGTCATATATGATATAATTAAATTTAAATCATTATTCTATTAGGTTGGAAAACAAATCCCGTTGAATTTGATTCTGCATTTAATCAAAGTAGACATACATGGTCATTTGGTAGTCCTGATATTTTACCAATGTTTGCCGAAGGAGCATCTGACCCAAATCGTATCGATACATTTATGTATGAACACGAAGATGAAAATTTTGCTCAAGGTAATTTTAAATTTATAGTCAATAGTTATTTATTTAGTAATTATTTATTACATAATAAGGATTAATTTATTAGTTTATTTTTTTAAATTTAATTAGATGCATCTGATTTAGACATTTGGGTATTTAATCAATTTGCGCAACTATTAGCAAACTCAACATCAGATCCAAAATTGCATAAACAACTGCACGAAAATCAAATAATAATATTTCTTCATTTACTTGGCCTAGATACAAATGGTCACGCACATGGACCACACTCAAAAGAATACATCAATAATATAAAACTTGTTGATGAAGGTATTAAGAATGTCGTTAAATTGATTGACAATTATTACAACCATGATGGCGGGACTGCATATATATTTACTGCTGATCATGGAATGAGTAATAGAGGTAATCATGGGGATGGGCATCCGGACAATACACGTACACCAATAATTGCATGGGGAGCTGGAATTAATAAACCCGTTAAGGTTGAAGTGAAGGGGGAGGAGAAGGAGGAAGAGAATTTGGTGTTAGTGAAAAGTGACCATGATGAATTTTCTTACCCATGGAATCTAAATCATGTTAAAAGATATGATGTGTTGCAAGCTGATCTCGCACCTCTTATGGTATGTTTTGCCTTGTTCATAAATCTATTTTTGAATTGCAATATGTGGTTTCATTTATCTTATTGTTTTTATTTTTATTAGTGCTCATTGATTGGAATAAATTATCCAGTGAATTCTGTTGGTGAGCTGCCATTACACTATCTTGATAATACTCCATTATTCAAAGCAAAAAGTATTTTTGTTAATGCCAAGCAAATACTTGAACAATATCAAGTCAAATACGGTATGATAAATAATTAATATTATTTAAAAGAAAAAATTTTATCAGATTTTTGCTAATTAAAATTTTATTTATCATGCTTATTAAAAAAAAAATAATTCCTCTAGAATTAAAAAAAAAGACAGAAATAATGTTTAAACCGTTTAAACCATTAAGTAATGATACTCACAATCCGGAAGTATTAATTAGAAATATCGAGGATCTAATTATTAATAAGAATTATGAAGAAGCAGAAAGATTATGTAAAGAATTGATTTATTTGTCATTGGAAGGATTAAGATATCTTCAAACGTAATTGTTTCTTCTTCTTCTTTTAACAATTATTCTTTTTCATAACTATTAATTATCCTGCAATATTCGTCTACAGGTATGATTGGTTGATGTTAAGATCAATAGTAACAGGTGGATTTATTGGGTGGATTTTGTACAGTTTAAAATTCACTTTGAAAGAATATTCATATAATGATAATAATGAAATAAAGTTAAATTATAAATATAATTTATATGTAAGTGATCATTCTCATCAGCATCATTATTATTAGAATTCTATTTTATTAATCCATTAATTCATTATAATTAATTTAATAATCATTTATATAATTATATTAAAATATAGATTAATTTTACATTGTTAATATTTTCACTAATATTAATAATTATTCTTTATATACAAGATTCACCTACAACTTATTATTTGTACACTTTTTTCCTAATATATTTTTGGAATAAAGTGTTGAATGATTTTAAAATATTCACAAGTTATTTCAAATCTAATGATAATAACAATAATGGAACAATTGTTGGTTATATTGTTGGTTATATATTAGTGCTAGAAATTCTGGTAAATATGTTGTTTAATTCATTTAATTTATTAAGATTTTTATAAAATTAATCATTATTACATATTACAATTGTTAGGTTTATAGTTATTTTGAAAGAAGTGCTCTAAGTGGATGTTTTATATTATTGTCATCTTGGCCATTAATTATTTCATCCGAGATTAAATCTAAAAATAAATCATTATTTATAATGTGGTCAATTTCTTGCATAATCTCAAGTATATTTACTTTATTGCCTGTTGAGAAGGGAGAGAATATTTTGTTGGTGTAAGTTGTTTGATTGTTTAATTTAATTTAATCTGGATAACTTCATATTATTAATGAAATAATTTGATTAAATTAATTAAAATTAGGATTATTGGAGGATTGTTAATTGTAATGTCGGGGATTTATTTGTTATTATTATCTAACAACAACAACAACAACATCATCATTAGTAGTAGAATAATTGATAGTGATAATAAGTTTATGGTTCAATTTCAGGTAAATGGAAAGAAAATATTTTAATTACAAGTATTTTTTGTATTATTAATATATATTCATTATTATAGATCTTCTTGGTATTATTAAGTATTATAATTGTATATGACACTTCAAATAAGTTAAAAGCAAAAATTGGCTTGCCACTATTAAACCAAATAACATCTTGGATAATTTTAGGTAAAAACACATTAAATTGCATTCATCTAATCAATATAATCAATATAATTTAAAATTTATGTTTATATTTCAGTCATTTCAACATTAACACCATTTGTTTATGGATTAAATCAGCCACAATATTATTTAAAGCGACTATTAACAATATTTTTATCATTTTCACCATTATTTATCATACTAAGTATTTCATATGAAGTTCTATTCTATTATTTCTTATCCATTACTTTAGTGTTATGGTTAGAAATAGAAAAATGTCTATTCAACCATAATAATAATAGTAGTAATATTATCAGAAATACAGATATTAAAATTACCAGTAAGAGATCCTACAGAGAATTAAGTTTGAATGATACTAGAATTACATTAATTTTCTTATTTTTTATTAAGATAGCATTCTTTGGCACAGGAAATGTTGCATCCTTATCATCATTTTCATTATCAAGTGTCTATAGACTAACTACCATCTTTGATCCATTTCTTATGGGTGCTTTATTACTGCTAAAAATATTGATTCCATTTTTCATAGTTTCTTCAGTATTTAGTGTCATCAACAAATCATTAAATCTGCCAGCATTCAGCCTCTTCCTATTGGTCTTGTCAACCTGTGATATTATGACTCTGAACTTTTTCTATTTGGTCAAGGATTATGGAAGTTGGCTAGAGATTGGTACTACAATCAGCCATTTTGTTATTAGTAATTTGTTTAGTTTGTTTATGATTATATTATTTGGTCTAAGTGAAATATTAGTTGGAAAAGTCAGAATTGATCACAGTGATGTTGATGATATTGTTGATGATTTAGTAGATTTAGCGTCAAGAAGAAAAAAAGATAAATAAGTTATTTATTTTCAATTCAATTGATATAATTATAGATTTATATAACATATATTTATTTGTTTTTAAAATTTTAATATATATTTCTATCATAAAATCAAATGATGGTAATACGAATCATGTTGGATTTAATAAAAATTTAAAAAATAAGATTCCAAGCAATTATTTTTTTTTTAATATATAAAAATGGAATTTTCTTTGATGGATACTTATTGTTGCACCTGTAAAACTTTTAAAGTATCATGAATTATGGTGCCAGGGTATTTATAAACAGCTTAAAACTTGTAATAATAATTGTCGTTAAATATTTATCAAAAAACGAAAAAGTCTGTGGAAATCAACCTAGCGACTTTGATATTGTTTTTTTGAGTGAAGTAGTTTAGATGTATCATCAATAATCAAGAATTACATTTACATTGTCGAATAGGCGATATTAGTCACGAAAATTCACCAACCACGGAACTCACAAAGAAGATTGTTGTGTCAATCGAAGTTGCCGATAAACACAACTGGGATTATAATAACCTGTACATATATGCAAGGTTACAACCACAACCACATATTGGTTTTTCTGTTCCAAAGAGACATCTTAGCCGCGTAAACATCCGGATCCATCGAAGCGACGAGACATTCTATCTATGGAGAGATTTATTGCGATGGTGTTATATTGATAAGACTTCACGGATATCTGAAGTAAACTTTCACCTTTGAAATTCGTTCAAGTCATGTGATGTCGATGTTCTAAACAATAAATATCAACAACTTTAATTTATCTATCAATAGAATAATATTTCTGAGATTTATATCTTTTTACTGCATATAAAAGCTTTTGGGCATGTTAATCAATTTCTATATATAAATCTCCAAGACCTGAGAAAAATTTTTCGAATTTTTTCAAGCGAAACAGAATCTAGCAGTTTTTTCTAATAATAAATAATTTTTGACGTGATAAATTTTACAGCTACACGAAACCGAATTTAGAATATTAATATTTCATGATATATAAAATGGTCTAGCTTTGAAGCCTTATAACTCAACTTTTCTAATAAAAAGAAAAAAAGTAAACCGATGAAGCTTGGGCCTTTAGCTTTAATTTCATCGATTTAATTTTCTTTTTAATAAGGAGTTGTAAGCTTTTATAATCATTTATTAAAAAGTGCAATTAAACATAATGCGCAAAAACTATATAAACCCCTGAATAATCCTAATTGGGATCTCAATTAGAAGTTCCAGTGACATCTTTCATCCATGGACTAATTTTTTTGGGAAACATACATGCGGCCCAAATTGATTTGTAAATGTCATAATAATATTACGGCATCTGAGTGATAACCTTAATTTTAGTATTAATTAAAAACCGTAATGTCGTAATTAGGCCGTAATGTCATAACTAGGTCGTAATGTAATAACCAATGTGTGCAAACTTAAAAGAAATTTGAAAAAAAATGTTATTATAACTTCCAAAATATGATATGGCCTGTAAAAGATGTTCATTTCGTAAAACTTAAAATATTAATATCGAAGATATTTGATATTTACGCTCACCAATTTTTCTGTTCATTGTAAGTTGACATCTACAAGATGGTAACTAAAAGAACAATTGTTGGTACTTTGATCGATCAATGTCAGATATCACATTTACCCACAAGTCAAGAAGAACTTTCTCGCAGTAGAGTCGGAAAAGTTCATCTGGAACTTTATTTTGGACTGCTATTTTAAAATTGTATCTCGGATTCTTTGAGGAGCAGCATCAATATACACCTTCAAATCAGGTATCTAAATATCAGGATTGGTATCATGTGCGGGGGACAGTTCCTTTGCAAGCTCCTCGCCGATTTCTAATGTCAATAATAACAAAAATTATCATCACTAATTAATTACACAAGCAAAGCTCCCAGAAGAATAAATACATGTCTTTATGCAAGATATACAAGAAGAAGTTTCTTTTCCTATTACAGAATTATCAGAAAGCAATTTTGTTGTTACATTGTCCATTAAAGAAGAAAGAATTATTTTAAAAAGATTATAATAATAATTTAAACGGATAAGTATCCGGATCAAGCTCTATTTGCAATAGAGGAAGTAAGACTTATTATTAAAAAGCTAAGGATGTGAAGGTTAGCTTTGGAGAGATATCCGAGAATTAAGAGAAGAAACAAAAATCGAAAGCAAAATTAACAGACCTAGAATATATACTAAAACATGAATACAAAAGAATAACTTGTAAAACCAAGCTATAAAGCACATATATATGTAACACACAAAGAAGAATAAATCGTTAGGAAATATAAAATCTTGCATTATACTTGGGGAAAGAAGTGGGGTAATCGAAAGATTAAGCTCAGAAATAATCATAGGATTGCCAAAATCCAACAATAGAATATCCGACCATGGACTGGTGCATTAAGTAAACATGTTTTTAAAAGTTAATTTGCATATAAATTTAAAGTCTCGTCGAGTTTGCATTATTAATGAAAATTCTAGATTCCGTGATTTTTATGAAAACTTTGAGCTTAGTAAAAAACTTTAAAACTCCGTTGAATTGTGGATTACATCATTAAGCAAGTCCACTTAAATATCTATGGTTAAAATTTGAGAAAATTTGATCGAGTATAGACAACAAAACGTAAAGCCTTAAAATTTGCATTTTGTCAACTTTATTAAGTGTTTTATATAATAAAATTATGGGGTAGTCGGATACTTTTTTAAACCCTTTTCACGAACTAATTTATGCCAACACCATATTGTGGATATATGTAATCTGTTACGTTGAGCACATTTTATTAATGAAATAATATACATTACAATGAAGAAATTTGACCTTTATTATATGTAAAGATTCCGATTGAAAATTTGCTTTTTTGGACTATTTGCTAAATGTTTCCATTAATACCATACCGAACCTTTCGATGCTTTTGTAATTTAGAGATTTTGATATCAAGTACAAGTCTACTTTAGTAAAGTAAAAACGGTTTTAAGAAAACGTTACTTTTTTAGTAAGAACTCTTTTCATTTGACGTTACACAACTTGGGTGGTCGGATACTTATGGTAGGTGTGTGTACAGTATATATTCATTTTGAATATAATTAAAATGTTATTAATTTTAAAAAAATTTATCAAGGGCCAAAATCAGCTCAGTAAGTTGCAAATAGTACTTGTAATTACAAGTTTAATGTATCAAAAAATAGTGAGCAAGAGAGATATAAATAAAACCATGATGACAACTGTCATTCATTTATTTTCAGCTACATTCAGGGTGACAAATATTATTTACAAGAAAAGAAATAATAAGTGCTTCATTCTAAATTTTTCTAGTTTAGTTTAAATTCCCCAAATCAATTGGGAAATGAAAATTATCAATGACGAAAAGGCAAAAGAAAATATCTATAAAAATTTGAATGTAGAAGTATTAAAGGTGATGATTAATTGAACCAAAAAATCTTAAATTCCCAAATTCCTAATTAATTTGTTTGTAAAAATGGATGCTATCTTTTAAGTCCTTGCTTATAAATAAAGCACTCAAATATTAACATGATTAGGCATCTAATGCTACATTATGTAATATTACTATTTTTTTAAAAAATTATTATTATTATTAAATATCTATAAATAAATAAATAAATACTATTATTATTATTATTACTATTAAATATTAATTAAATATTAAGAAATTATTTATCCTGATTATTAATCCAATTATTATATTCATATTCATATTTTTTTTCATCATCATCCAAATAACCATCATCACCATCAGATGATGATATAGCGACATAATTTTCAGGTATTAAACCAACCTTACCATCAAGCTCAGCTACTAACCACCCAACACATTGTCGATAATTTATTGTTAATATATCACCTTCTTGAAAACTCAATTCTGATGTATTCTCTGCCAGGAAATCATATAATGCACAAGCTTTCTTATTTTTATATTTGCCATCATCTTTTTTATTGGTGTGATTTTTATTATTACTACTATTATTATTATGACTATTAGCATAAATATTATTAATATTGTTATCATAATCTATAATATAATCATCATCATTATTGTCATAATCGTAATAATCATCATCACCACCATTACTATCATCATCTGATGATGCAATCAGATTTTGTCCCCAATGTCTTAGATCTTCTATTGGAAAAGCAAAATCTCTTATTTTTATTAGAATCTGAAATAAATAATTTAAATAATTCAATATTTTATATTTTATGAAAATTATTAGTGAAACTGTAAAGAGACTATTATTATTACCAAATCCTGATTTGATTCATCATTTAATTTTTGTTGATTTATGTCACTACCATCTTTTAATATGTCATTATCATCATTCTGATTCTCTTTATTCTCTTTATCATTATTTTGTAATTTTATTGATTCTGAATTGATAGATTTTAAATTTAAATTATTTAAATTTAAATTATTATTATTATTATTATTTGTTTCGATGAATGAATTCATTTTTAAATCTATAATAATTACTAAAATATTAATATAATATTAATATAATTATTGATATAATTTATGTAAGATTTGTAATAATATTAAGGGTGAATGAATCTACAAATATATATGTTGAAATATTAATTATTAAATAAATAAATAAGTTTAAAAAAAGTCTAATTATGAGGTTTACTACCAAATTTTTACCCTCTAATAAAATTTCATTGAGAAATAATTTAATTAATAAATTGAATATAATTTATAATTGTAAATTATTTTATTGCTTTTATTTAAATTTGTTGATCTTTCTAAATTAGTAACAATAAATTGCCACAAATGCCAGATTAATAATTAATATTAAATGACATACATGAAATAATTGATCCTTGCGTTTCAATAATAATAATAATATACTAATACTAATACTAATACTAACACTAAATACTAATGTTATTACTATAATTGAATTTCGATTTTCGATTTTGAATTTCGATTTTAAATTCGAAATATCATGTGACCTTATAAGAAAATGAGGATATTATTTTGTCTAAGCCCTTACTTACATTAGCACTTTAATGCGGAAAACACCTACTACTACTAATTTGTACAGTGCATGTCACAGTAACACATCCAAAATAATTGGTCTTAAAATCGACATGTTAAATTTTCATGTAACTTTTGAAAAAAAACGACATAAATTGATTATTCTAATTAAAAGCAATCAAGCTACGTTGGAATTGTTAAATAAGTTCAGTGCAACAAGAGTATGTCAAATTAAAAGTTTGATGTTGTGTTATAAAAATTTTGAAATTGGCCCTCTTATAATTCTGGCCAATTTTGTTTAATGCCAGCCCAAATTATGAAGTAAAATATTAATTCATTCGCGAAAATTAAATCACAAAATATCTCTTTTCCTAATAAATATTAAAAATGAGAAAGAACCCAGCACTTAAACAATGTTGATATTGTTAAAATTTCTGTGCAGACAAACAAAAAAAAACTAAAAGATAATGAAATTGAGTGAGAGATTATTTAATTTGAAAACATAGATAACAATGATTAATTAAATATTTCTTTTTTAGTGATAATGGATTCTGCTAATTCTGAAGAGATTATTTAATTTTAAAACATAAATAACTTAATGATTAATTAAATATTTCTTTTTTAGTGATAATGGATTCTGCTAATTCTGAAGAAATGTATTCATATTTTGTTTATTTCAATCACTGACTAATAATATTATAAAGATATTAATAACAAACTGGTGATCATGTGACATATGCTTAAATTTTCATTGGGTAAATTTGAATTTTTTGAATTTTTAAAAAACTTTTTTATAGTAATATTAACAATATTATTATTATAAACCATTTTATGGGAGGAAATAGCATCTTTGTTCAATTTCATAATCTAAAAAGGGTTAAATTTCTTCTGAACTTAAAACCAAATTTAGATCCTCTTAATCCCATCCACCAGAAGAAATGAAATGAAAGTTTTATTCAATCAATTGTCCAGTCCAGATGAAGAAAGAAGTCACAAAAATTTTGGGCGGAAAATTTTAATTTTCATCTATTGTTTATTACTACTGTCAACATTATTTTCCACATTACCATCATCACCATCATCATAATCATCACCACCACCATCACCATCACCATCACCACCATCATCGTCATCGTCATCGTCATCGTCATCATTGTCATCACCATCTACCTCATCAACCACTTCATTATCCTTATTCACTATTGTAGTAGTAATAGGTTTAGTATAATTATAATTCCATCCATCTAAAGGTGGTGTTTCTGTAGGAATTTTCATTTTTCCAGGAAACAATATTTTTGAATTATTAAGCTGAGCTTCTTTAAATAATCGTTCATCTACCTTTTCTAATTCAATATTCGCCTCATTTAACATTCTATATTTTCTTGCTAATTCAAGCTCTTTTTGTTCTTTTTGATGTCTACAAAATAATTTCCATGCTCGTTCTATCGTTTCATGTCTTTCCAAATCTTCTTGTGTTAATGATGACAAGTCTGGTTTCTCGGTTTCGTAAAGTATTTGTTTAATTACTTCATACCTTTTATCTGTTATATGGAATTGTTGTGAGCCTGGTATCATACTTCCACCAGCTCCACTACTAGTGGTTTTTGTGTTGCTGCTACTACTTGACTTTTTATTTGTGTCAGTCTTTTTTGAAGATTTTTGTGCTCCATATTTACGATTTTGTGAAGAAATATTTGTTGTTGGTAATGTTTTTATTGTTGGTATTATTATTAATGAACTTTTCTTTTTTTTAAATATTAAAGTTTGAAAATTTCTTTTTATCATTTTTTTTTTTAAAGATATTCGTGTTGCATTGATAATTTAATTGGCGATCCTTTTAGTAAAGAAATTTTTTTATATATAGAAATGGATATTTTTCCTTTTACTGGAAAATTGTACATACAGCTCTCCAAGTGTGCCCCATTGAGAACATAATACTTACTATCACTCATGAATATGCATTTAGAGAGGGTATACTTAGATAATAATAATACAACTGCGGATTTCCCAAAAAGGATCTTCAATAAGAATTTTCATCCGATAAACTTTAATTTCGAAACAATTTAGAGCTAGGGTTTCTATTTGAATAAGGTTTATTCGAATTATTCGTTTTATTTGAGTATTAGAGTTACATTGAAAGTTTATTCGAATAAAACTAATAATTCGAAGATTGACTTTATTACGAATAATTCGAATAAGAATTAGTATTACGAATAAAAACCCTATTTAGATCATAGAAAGCATACGTTGCTTCATCTAGTTGTAACGAATCTTTCATTAGGAATTATTATTATCAAAAGAAGAACAACTCCAAACCTCAAGAATCGCTGTAGTAAGATCAAGGCCATTCTCACATCATTGTGTAAAAGCTTGATGGTGACAATTTGTCAGATGTTCGCATTCTTTAAAGGACTAGATCAACCGGCTGGAAAAAATAATATCAACTAAAATACCAAAGGGTTGCCACCCAACGATTATAAAATTTACATTAGCCTGTCATAATGCCAGCTGCATAATGTGTTGTTCCTCAAGATGATTAAAATAAAATGTGAAACTTGCACGCGTTTATCAGATTAAATAATTCGTTTATTGCATAATTATCAAAATAATACTCAAAAATAAAACCTCCTGTTATTTTTATATTATTTTCAATACTTTCATGATCCAGTAAAAACAATACAAATAAGTAAACCGTCCAATAATAAATCATTGAAACCATTTTGATGATGTCTCCTAAATGAAAACAGAAAAAGTCAATTATTTACCCATGTCCTATGAACACCAATAACTTTAGTTATTTGTAATTGAGCACATTAATTGTGTGTAAGAATAATCCTGGATATCCTAACCAGGATTAGGGACAAATTGCATTGTGCAAAAGTGGATCGATCATCTTAACCGATTTGACATTGCAATTAAAATTTAATTAAATCAAATCTGTTTAGAAACTGATGTTATTGGAATCTTATTGTTAAGGAAATCGTATTTCGCTTAAAAAGATATCGTCGTTCTCCAGATTTAAACTTCTTATGTTAATAGATCATATGGTTAAAAGTCATTTTTTAATTATTGTGAGTAACAACAGTGAACCTATGAATTACAGAGCTCAGACAAAAATCATCAGCTATGTGAGCATTTTTAAAGTTGCTGATGATATGCGAGCTTTTCAGTAGAAACGCGTGAAGCTCTGAAAGTGATGTTTTGAAAAAAAGAACTGCATTTTTCTACACTCATATGGCAAAGTATAAATATTGTAGATTCTTGTATTGAACTTTATTCCCACCAAAATCCTTCTTCTAATATACATTTTTTGTAATTAACAGTTTCAATAAAGCAAGTAATTCCTATTTATTTTCATAAAATAAAATCCAATCCGTCCTGTCTGTTCGTAGTAGTAGGTAAATCAGTTATGATTTTAATGTCATATCGAACCAATCAATATATAATGGCTATTTTTTCAATTTAAATGTTGCTAATTGATAGTTTGACTTAAACGCAAGGTAATTTTTCAAAACACAAGGAGAAAGATAAAAGTCCATTTGAGAACGAATAGTCAGGATAAGCATTTCAGACACTCTTGACATATCATTCTGTCTTACATGTTAAACACTGAAGCTTACAAAACAAAATGTATATTATTTTCTGAACTCCCACAGCTCTGGTAAAATGCTCCCAATCATGTATCCAGCACTGTGTGTGTATTGCAGTTTGGCCAACCATATGTCAAATTTTTTCTTTGATTATTATTAAAAAACATTATGGCATATCTCTTTTCATTTGAATATAATTAGCTTTTGCGTAATAAAGTTTCTACCACAAACAAATAGGTGAATTGCGATGAATTCCAACGAATAAGTGACGGGTAACATTTAGGTAATCAACCGATTTTATTGGTGAGTTATGAAGACAACTATCTTTGCAAAGGCTTATTTGCTTATTTGGTCCCTCTGAACTGTTTTTATCTCTGCATTTGTGGATTCATAGTAAATTATTAAAAAGCGCAAAATCCTTCCATGGTAATATGTGTAAAGATAAAGAAGACTTTGATTCATGAAGTATCAATCAATAGATTATCAAACGCTTTTTTTTTAAAATTTTGAGTTTAATTAATTATTCACAGACAATTAGATTAATTTAAAATTAAAACCAATTGACTATTTATTGTAATTGTAATTTGGTATTTGACCAACATAATCAATAATAATAAGTATAGTCTATTACCAATTAATTGACTGCTAATTGGTTAAAAACAAAAAAAAAATATCTTATTACAAACTGGTTTACTATATAAATTATTATATAGATTTCACATGTATTATTAACACATAATTATCTTTTGTAAAACTATTGATAATTCAAGTTTAACCGATTGTAACAAAACATCGAGTTTAAAATCTATTCTACTTTCAAATATTGAGGCCGTGGATATTAATATAGCAATATATTTTGAGCCGTTTCTGTTGAATTAATGGAAGGAACTGGTATTAGTATTAGTGGTTATTCATTTGGCAGAGGGAACTGGTTAAATTGGTAGATCAACAACTAACTCATATTTTTAGATGAATCTATTTTATTAAAACATATCAATGGATATTAATGGATTCGAAAATAAGTTGATATTTGTTATGTGCTCTTTAAGAGTAGTTTGTTCTATCTAAATGACACTGTTGGTATTAAATATATATATATATAATTTATTTTATCAATACATAATATAATAATATACATGTGTATGTGTGTTAGTTAATATTAATATACAGAATTAAAAATTTTCTATTTAATCTATCAATACCGTTCACCATCTTTTGTGATTTTCTTTTACACAAAATTACCATTATTAATTAATTACCAAATACCCCTGTAGTAATACAATAATACATTATTGCCTATGATAATACCCTGCATTTTATATTATTTACTAAAGCAACTTCTAGATGACATAATAGTCTCTACCCATCTCAAATCTTCATATCCATCAGTCATTTTATAATCAGCTTCCTTGTAACTTAACCCATCTTCTTTCATGATCAATCTAATGATAGTTTCAGGTATTAACACATCATTTACAAATCGAAGTTGCAAATTAGATGAATAATTAAAAAATGGGCGTTTCAATTTATCATATAATAATGAGGATGATGACGAGGATAAGGATGGTGATGGTGATAATGGTAATGGTGGTAGTGGTGGTGGTGATGAAGGTGAAGGTGAAGGTGAAGGTGAGGAAGAGGAAGAGGCAGCAGCAGCAGCAGCAGTTGGTTGGGCCAATGATGGTGATGACGTTTCTGATTGTTGGCGTGAATGCTTGTTTGGGGTAACATCATGTAATAATGAAGGTAAGTGTTTGCGCTTACGTGGAGTGGAAACAGAGGTTGTGAGCTGTTGAGACGGTGATGATTCTGGTTGTGGGTTTAAAATTTTGCGTGAGGTAACATCGGTTAAGTTGTTGTGTTTATGTGGAGTTGAGACAGGAGTTGAGAGTTGTTGTGATGAAAGTGATAGTTCTTGTTGATTATTTTGCTGTTGATTATCTTGTTCTTCTTCTTGTTCTTCTTCTTCTTCTCGATATTGTTTATTTTCCAATTTCATAATAGACATGATCAATTCCGAAGGTTTAACGATATTATCTTTCTTATCGATAGCTTTTGCAACATCAGGCACATACATATGTCTTAAAACTTTTGCTATCAAACCAAATTCACTTTGGTTGAATGGTCCTTGTGAAACACGAGAAGCTAATAACTGACGCTTTTTCTTTCCCTTAACAAAATAATCATATCTCCATGCCAATTTATCATTGCCTAATAGAACATCAGACAATGTTGGTTCGAGATCTAGAATTGTAGCAATTAATTCCGGATCTTCATAATCAGGGTCTTCTTTTTCCATTACAATTTCACCCAACTTTTTAATAAAGATAAAAATATATATAAATATATATTAACATGAAAATATAAAAATCTTCAATTATAAAATTACATTGCAAGTCACAAATCCTTTTTCATAAATTGTGTAAAATTTATTTCTACCAAGTGTTGTCTTGGATCCATCACAAAAGAGGACATGGTACTTTCCAGGCTATTTAATATAACAATTAATATTATAGAATTTTAAATTATTCAAATAAACGCCATCAACAATTAAATAAATAAATAAAATAATAACAAGTAATTACTAATAAATAAAATAAATGTCTTACCTTCTGATAACCAATGATTTTTGCTGGATAGTATTTTCTTAAAGAGTAGGCTAACACTAATTCACCTGGAATGCTTAATGTCTCATCTTTCAAAACATCATAATCTGGTAATTCAGGTTCGGATTGTTCCTGTTCTTGTTGTTGGTCTAATAGTTCAACAATGTTATTCTTTTTTTCACATTCCTTTTTTGGAGGAATAGCTCTATTCAATAATTCCTCCACGCTTGGAAATTCTTCATCATCATCAAGACTAGCTAATTCATCAAGAGATGATTTATTAACATCCTTATCATTAATAACATATTGTTGTTGTTCTGGTGGTTTAACTTTGATATTTTTTTTTTCAAGCTTTTTCCTTTCTTTTTTTGACATATTCCATAATTCTCCCACGCTCGGAACTTCTTCGACAAAACTGAGGGACGGGCTATTATTGTTGTTCTGATTATTATCTTTAGAAGTTGGAATAATTTTTAATTGTTCTTTTCTTGATAAACGTTGTTGTTTTTGTTGTTTGTTATTTTTAATTTTGTTTTGTGGTTTTATTGGTGTTGGTGTTGGTGTCGGTGGTGAATCCATTATCCTTGTG